TAGAGCTTCCATCCACATATACCTTCCAGACTTGGTCTGGATCTCGAGAATCAGGGAGACGAGTCATCTCAACAATAAAGTCAGCAAAGGCTTGCCCCTTCACTTCTTTTCTAGGCTCGAAAGTAACTTCGAGGCTCTGTATTTCTATGGCCCATTTGATCATCCGGCCTGACGACTTCATGGTGGTCAGTGGCCGCTTGATAGGTTGATCTGTATACACGACGACTGCATGTACCAAAAAGTAGGGCTTTAATTTTTTAACAGCCATGAAGAGCGCAAGACCAAATTTCTCCACTAAAGGATACCTCAACTCGGCATTTTTTAGTACATGACTGACAAAGTAGACTGGTAGCTGACAGCCGTCTCTTTCAACAAGAAGAACAGCGCTTAACGCATGATCAGAGACGGCCAGGTACATGTAGAGTACTTCTTTGGGCAAAGGGCTGACCAGACTCGGCAAGGAATGCAAGTGAACTTTCAATTTCTGGAAGGCTGCCTCAGCATCCAGCCCCCATTCAAACCTTGCCTTCTTCTTAATGGCTTGGAAGAAGTATAAGCAATTGTCGCCTGATCGGCTTAGAAATCTTCCCAAGGCCGCCAGACAACCTGTTAACTTCTGAACCTCTCGGACGGTCTGAGGCGACTGCATGTCGATGACCGCCTGCACCTTCTCAGGGTTCGTCTCTATTCCTCTCTGAATGATAAGGAATCCGAGAAATTTCCCAGACTCAACTCCAAATACACATTTCTTGGGATTGAGCATGACATGGTGCCGCCTGAGTGTGGCGAAAGTTTCTCAGAGGTCCGACAGATGATCTATCTAAAGCTTAGACTTGACAATCACATCATCAATGTATGCCTCGACGTTTCTCCCAATCTGATCAAAGAACACAGTGTTTATCATTCGCTGGAAGGTGGTCGGGGCATTCTTAAGACCGAACGGCATGACCGTGTAACAGTATAACCCTTGATCAGTGACGAAGGCCGTCTTCTCCTGATATTTCTTTCATAAAGGAATTTGATGGAAACCAGAGTAGGCGTCAATAAAGCTCATCTAAGCATGGCCGGCTGTTGAGTTGACCAGGTTATCAATTTTAGGCAGAGGGTAACTGTCTTTGGGGCATGCCTTGTTTAAGTCTGTGTAGTCTACACACATTCGCCAGGTGTCATTCGGCTTTTTAACAAACACCAAATTTGCAACCCAGTCTGGGAAGTAACATTGCCGAATGAACCCTGCATCAAGTAGTTTTTTAACTTCGACGGCTGCCGCCTGACTTCTTTCTTCGCCATGGTTCCGTTTTTTCTGCCTTACCAGCTTCTTTTTCGGATCCACAACTAGTTTATGTACCGCCAAGTCAGGACTAATGCCTGACATTTCGTGGACTTCGAATGCAAAGATGTCCTTGTATTCTTTCAATAGTTTGTGAAAATCGTCACCCAGGACTCTCAGAGCAGTCGTCCCAACTTTGACTGTTCGCTCAGGACGTGAGTCATCTAAGATCAAGTCCGTATGCTCACCAGCCGGCAGAGGGCGGAATTCATCCGACCGCTCCTCTGCCAATGATTGCTATTTTCTGTCTTTTCTTGCGGCCCCCGTCTAGGCTGCCTTTCTCTTCTTGCCGCCTGCTTCTTGAACAGGCGCACTCTCCTTAACATTGTCAAGGTCTGTTTTTCCACCACTTGACCCAGCGGCCATGACAGTGGGCTTGATATCAGAGAGATAGCACTCTTGGGCCATCCTCTGATCTCCCCTTAGGGACCCGACTGTTTCATTATCCCTCTCAAACTTGAGCAACATAAGAGATGGGATTATAACAGCCTTGGAATTATTCAGGGTTGGTCGTCCCAGAATCATGTTGTAGGCCGAGAGTTCTTCTACTACCCGGAACCGGACTACCATGTGTTGTCCTTCCCCTTTTTCACCCAGGCGGATGGGTAAATCCACTCGTCCCACTAGGTGGACGACTCCTCCTCCAAACCCTACTAAAGGGTAGGATGCCGGATGTATGCAATCAGTCTGATATTTTAGTTTTGACAAACATTTGCTACTGATAAGATCTGAGGAGCTTCCAGTATCTATAAGGATTCGACCAACTCTCTAGTTGGCCACTTTACATTCAATAACGATAGGGTCGTCATGCGGCCCCCTTACCCCTCCTAGATCTTCTTCAGTGATGACAATCTCAGGAAATGAATATTTGGGGGGTCGTTCTTGGTGAACGGAATTTACATCTAGCCGCCTTATATTGTCTTTGTTGCCCCTAATAGTGGGGCCGCCTCCTAAGAAGCCGCCTGCAATGGTGTAGACGACTACATCATCTGTATCAGAGTTTTCGGCCTGTTGACTCTTTTTGGCTGACTGCTTTTTGAGGAAGTGTTCCCCGTAGATTTCTTGACATAAGGGTCAAGATCGCCTTGCTCAGCCAGGCGGTCCAGATACCGCATGAGACTGTTGCATTCGTTGGTGTGATGACCAACATCTTCATGATAATCACAGAATTTTTCCTTGTTTCGGTTGCTTGCAGAACCCTTCATGGGGACCGGCTTTTCAATTGAGATCCGTCTCTTGATTTCCTTTAGGATAGCTTGGCTATCCTTTCTAAACGCATACTTTGGAGAGAATGGTTTGAATTCTTTCTTCTTCTTCTAGGCCGGCTGTTTAGTGGAATCAGCCGCCCAAACCTCTTTTCTCTTCTTCTCATCTTTATTCGACGACTGTTTCTTTCGTCCTTCTCTTTTGTCGAACCTTTTCCCGTCCGACTGTTTTGTACTACAAAGATCAGTCGCCTGTATATAGGCTTCCGCTTCAATCAAAGCCTCTTAAAGAGTTGCCACCCTCTTTCGGACCAAATCAAATTTGAATGTCGATCCGTCTTTGAGGCCACTGAAAAAGTCGGTATAGGCTACCTCATCCGGTAACCCTTAAATCTGTATTCTCATCAAGTTAAACCGCCTGATGTAAGAACGAAGCCCCTCCTTCTCGCCCTGCTGAATTGTTCCTAAATCAAGGGTCGTCTTCTTTGCAGGTATGTTCATGGCAAAGTTGGAGGTGAATAAGTAAGCAAGCGTCCTGAAGTTATTCACACAACCAGTCGGCAGGTTGCCGAACCATTGTTGTGCGATTCCTTTGAGAGTCGCTGGAAAACACTTGCACTAAGTGGGATCATCCAACCCTTGAAGGTACATCAGGTTGGTGAATGCCATCAAATGGTCTTCTGGGTTAGTAGTGCCGTCATAGGCGCCAACTAATATTTTTTTCACTTTGGCCGGCTGAGCGACTTCAGCAATTTCCTTGGAGAAGGCCGACGGCTGTTCCCCAAGTCTAAGCAACCGTAGCTTCCAGTCCATAGGTTGGACATTCTTTGCTGCATGCCCACCAAACAGAGGTAGCTTAAAAAAATATTGTTGTTGCGGTACAAATGGTAAGTTTGGTACCGCCTGGTCACTATGAAAGCCGGACTGACGGGAGGTACCGCCTGACTGACTCTCATGATGCGACTAAGTATGCCTCATCGAGGTATTGCGCAGACTGTCTTGGAAGTTTGAAGTAGAGGCCGACTCTGAGAATCGGTCATTCTTTTTCTGCTCTAGCAATAGCCGAGCATCTGTGTATGTTTTCTTCGACCCGTCCGCCTGAATATGACGAACAGGTTTCCTCTTTCCTGGAGTAGGAAAGCGGTACTTTGTGAAACCAAGGGCAGGCGGCTCCCACTTCCTAGAGTTAGGATGAGGGGTCGCCTCTCGCCCTTGAACTGGCTTCCTCTTCCCTGAAGTGGAAGGTTTCTTAGCCGACTGTTCCTTGGCCAGAGCAGGCTTCTTGTTGAGCAACTCTTGAATCTCTCCCTTGAAGCCCCTCATGAAGGTCATGAGTTCGTTCCTTGTAATGGGAGCAGACCCATCAGCCGGCTACTGCTGAACAGGCGGTGCGCATGCTGGATCACTGAGTCCAGTTTGAAGATGCTCTCGTTCCCTCCTTTCGGTATGAAGGGTGCGTCAGGCCCTTAGGGTCCCGTCTGAAGCTGTGTGAGCTTCAACTTCAAATTCTTCCTCAGTATCATGGTCCGACTGAACATTAGGGTCGTCTAGGGGACGCCTCTCTTCAGGAGTCGGTACAGACGTGGATGCCATCTCAGACGTACTCTCCCCACAGACGGCGCCAAAATGTTTCGGGGTTTTCTGATGTTTTGCGGGAGAGTTACAATTCCGAGACTGGAACTGGACGCCTGTACCTGCAAAACAAACGGATGCTCCGGATGATTGGAGATCCGCCTCCGACGGTCAAGTTAGTACTTGATTAAGGTGTAATTAATGCGGAAATAAAAGTGATTGGGTCTCTCTAGGTGAGAGTGTTAAATGTGCGTAATCCCCCTTAATGAGGATTAAGGGAGGTATTTATAACCTTGGGAAACGTGTCAATCCTAGGTTTAGGTTAACTTAGGGCTGATTGGGCTTCCCTTGGAAGTTTGGCCTAGGTGGCCGATTTCTCCATTAGGCATGGAGGATGCCACGTGTCATGACATAATAGGTCCAGGGTGGACGAATAGGCGTGTGCCACGTGGCAAACCCTGACAGTTCCAACTGGGGGACACTTGGCAGGACCTGATTGGCCCACGTGGCGCATTCCGATTGGTGGGAGCAAAATCCCCTAATCACCAAGCTTGATAGATGAGGTTCAAGGGGCTTTTGTAGCTGGTAGGTTTATCTTGGATAATATCTTGGTCTGCCAAGACATGCTCAAGGATTACAATAACAAGAGAAAGGCTCCTAGATGCACAATCAAAGTTGATCTTAGGAAGGCTTATGATTCAGTTCATTGGTCCTTTATAAAGGATATGCTGATTGCTTTAGGGTTTCCTTTCTAGTTTGTTGATTGGGTCATGCAGTGTGTGTGCTCTCCTTCTTTTTCTGTGATGATTAATGGTGGTATTCATGGTTTTTTTAAGTGTAGGAGAGGAATACGACAGGGGGATCGTATGTCTCCTCTATTATTTGTGGTGGTCATGGAGTATTTTACCAGATTGCTGAGGAAGATTGGCAAACTTAACAGGTTTAAATTTCACTCTAGATGCAAGGGTTTGAGGCTTAATCACCTTATTTTTGCTGATGACTTGTTGCTCTTCAGTTATGGTGATAAGCTGTCTATTGAGCTGCTGGTCAGAGGTCTTAGGACCTTTGAGAAATGTTATGTTTTAAAAGCTAATGCTGAGAAAACTGCTCTCTATTTTGGCAATGTTCCTGATACAGCTAGATCCCAGATTATGCTAGTCACTGGTTTTACAGTAGGTGAGATGCCTTTTAAGTATCTTGGGCTTCCTTTAAATGCTAGATACTTGAGAATTGTTGAGTTTGATAGCATTATAGATAAAATGCTTAATAAGATTACCTGCTGGTCTAGTAGGAATTTATCTTATTCTGCTAGGGTGATCCTTGTCAATTCTGTCCTTATGAGTATACACACGTATTGGGCTCAGTGTGCTCTTTTACCTACTGGGGTTGTGACCAGAATTACTCAGCTGTGTCGTGCTTTCTTACGGGGTGGGAATGTTGTTCTTTCCAAGACCCCCAGTTGCTTGGGATTGGATTTGCAAGCCTAAGTCAGTTGGTGGGATAGGTGTCAGAAACATTGGTTTATGGAATAAAGCAACTCTGGGTAGATACATTTGGAAAATTGCTTAGAAACAGGACAGCTTGTGGGTCAAGTGGGTGCATTCTGTCTACATTAAAGACAATGATTGGTGTTCTTATATTCGTAAGAAGTCTGCAGGCTGGGCATGGAAAACACTCTGTGTTGTTAAGGAAGATTTAAAGGCTGTCTTCAGTTAGAATTGGTGGCAGAACAATACTTACAAGATCTTAGAAGTCTATGGTAGATTGCAAGGTGCTTTTCCTACTGTGGACTGGGTTAATTGGGTTTGGAACTCTTATAACTTGCCTAAACTGTAGGGTTTCGTAGTGACCCGACACTACGCGGAAGGAAACCCACCAAGACCCGCCCCTTAATTAAAGCAATTAAACAAGCATAATTGACTTAATCAAACAAGATTAAGGACAAGAATTATACCTTTGACGCGTGCTTCGCTCCTAAAGAGCTCTTACTTCAAAATCCCGAAAAGACGAGATCTCCGACGGATCGTCATAATGAGAAATTTACTTATGACAAAATTTAAATTTTCTTAAAGTACTCTCATAGGTCTTATCCAGTACAGTTCTAAACTGTACCTGTGTAAATGATTTATGACTGTCACGTCCTCGCAGCACAAGAAACGGTGTTGTAAATCATACTACACACTAATCTATTGCGGTCATCTATCGTCCATCTGTTAGATGACCTCGATTAGGGATACTTTTCGATTTAATATTCAATGTTCACTTAACAGGTGTTTCTTTATCCAAGACATGGTCTTGATACCCTGTTTTGAATATTTCCGTAAATCGAATGGACTCATTATTTAATTCTAAAACACAATTAAATAGTAATGCAGTGAATGATAATTTTGCACAAAAATTAATTACTCCAGTAATGAATGGTTTTAGTACAGTGTCTTACATTAAATCAACCCTGTTTAATTAAAACACTTGTACAGGGAATATCAAAGCCAGTCTCCAACATGCTTGATTCCCATTGCCTCAATGTATTTGTTGTGTTTCACTTGAGGCAGAGGTTTAGTCAAAGGATCGGCTACATTATCATCCGTGCCGATCTTACAAATTCTGATTTCACCTTCGGATTTCCATTCCCTTATCATGTGAAATCGCCTTTGCATGTGTTTGACCATCTGGTGTTCTCTCGGCTCTCTGGCCTCAGCGATAGCTCCACTATTATCACAATAGAGGACTATCGGTCCCTTGATTGAGGGTACAACACCAAGTTCACTAATGAACTTGCGAATCCAAACAGCTTCCTTGGCTGCTTCCGAAGCGGCCAAGTACTCGGCTTCAGTTATAGAGCCTGCAGTGGTGCTCTGCTTGGCACTCTTCCAACTGAATGCTCCTCCAATCAGACAGAATATATACCCCGACTGTGACTTGAAGTCGTCTCTGTCAGTCTGGAAGCTAGCGTCGGTGTAACATTGTTCCTTTTCATGTACTTAAGGATATTCTTGGCCGCAGTCCAATGCGCCTCTCCTTGGTTCGATTGATATCGACTTGTTGCACTCAGGGCATACGACACATCCGGCCTTGTACATATCATGGCATACATGATCGATCCGATTAGCGAAGCATATGTGATCTGATTCATTCTTTCTCGCTCAACAGGTGTCTGTGGACACTGTTTCTTGCTGAGAGTTATGCCATGGGACATGGGTAAATGCCCTCTTTTGGCATTTTCCATGTTGAATCGAGCCAGTACCTTATCAATGTAAGTACTCTGGCTTAATCCAATCATCCTCTTAGATCTATCCCTGTAGATCTTGATGCCCAATATGTACCGTGCCTCTCCTAAGTCCTTCATTGAAAAGCACTTTCCCAACCAGCCCTTTACGGACTACAATAATTTTGTGTTGTTTCCAATGAGGAGTATGTCATTAACGTACAGGACTAGGAATGCAATATCACTCCCACTGACCTTCTTGTATACACAAGACTCATCTGGATTCTTGATAAAACCAAACTTGCTGATGGCTTCATCAAATCGCAGATTCCAACTCCTACTGGCTTGCTTTAGTCCATAAATAGACTTCTTCAGCTTGCAAACCTTTCCAGCGTTGCCTGGATCGACAAAACCCTCTAGCTGTGTCATATACACAATTTCTTCCAAAATCCCATTAAGGAAGGCGGTTTTGACATCCATTTTCCATATTTCGTAATCGTAATATGCAGCAATCGCTAGGATAATCCGGACGGACTTTAGCATTGCAACTGGTGAAAAAGTTTCATCATAGTCAATAACGTGGACTTGTCTATAACCTTTTGCCACCAGTCTAGCTTTGTATACCGATACATTTCCATCTTTGTCTGTCTTCACTTTGAAGATCCATTTGCAACCAATGGGTGTATAACCCTCGGGCAAATTCACCAAGTCCCAGACTTGATTTTCAAACATGGAGTCCATCTCGAATTTCATGGCCTCTTGCCATTTTGCAGAGTCGGGGCTCGTCATAGCTTGCTTGTATGTCGCCAACTCATCACCATCCATAACTAGGATGTCCTGATCATCAGTTAAGACGATACCGAGGTATCTGTCTGGTTGAGATCTTTGCCGTTGCGACCTACGTAGGGTAATCGGTTGAGCATTTACATTGTCTGTTTGACTCTGACCAATCTTCTCAGATGCTTCCAAAGTATCAAGATTGTCAGTTTTGTCAGGTTGACATTGTTGCTCGTCCTCTCGAACTTCATCGAGTTCGATTTTCCTCCCACTTGTCATTTTGGAAAGGTGATCCTTCTCCAAAAAGACACCATCACGAGCAACAAACACTTTGTTCTCGGATTTATTGTAGAAGTAATACCCTTTGGTTTCTTTTGGATATCCCACAAAGAAATACTTATCCGGTTTGGGGTGAAGTTTGTCCGAAATAAATCGCTTGACATATGCTTCGCATCCCCAAATCTTGAGAAAAGACAACATAGGAGGTTTCTTAGTCCATAATTCATATGGAGTCTTATAACAGCTTTTGTCGGAGCTCTATTCAGTGTTAGTGCTGTTGTTTGTAGCGCATGTCCCCAAAACGAGATAGGGAGTTCACTAAGACCCATCATTGACTGAACCATGTCTAACAAGGTCCGATTCCTCCGTTCGGACACTCCGTGCAATTGAGGAGTTCCAGGAGGTGTCAACTCTGAAAGAATGCCACATTCTTTCAAGTGATCGTCGAATTCATGGCTCAAATATTCGCCACCTCGATCCGATCGAAGTGCTTTAATTTTCTTGCCAAGTTGATTTTCAACCTCTTTCTGATATTCTTTGAACTTTTCAAAGGATTCAGATTTATTCGACATTAAGTAGATATAGCCATATCTGCTATAATCGTCAGTGAAGGTGATGAAATATCGGTAACCTTGCCTTGCGGGTGTGCTCATAGGTCCACATACATCCGTGTGTATTAGGCCTAATAAGTCACTTGCCCTTTCTCCCAACTTGGAGAATGGCTATTTGATCATCTTGCCTAATAAGCATCCTTCGCAATTTTCAAATGACTCTAAGTCAAATGAGTCAAGAACACCTTCTTGAAGAAGTTTCTTGATGTGTTTGATGTTAATGTGGCCAAGACGACAATGCCACAAGTAGGTTTGATTCGACTCGATGGTCTTAGCTTAGTGGTATCATCCTTTTGTCATATGTAAAACATGCAATTTAATTGAACATAAATTTGTAAACTTGAAACAACAATTGTTAAAACTAGAATTGTAAACTTGAGGAGTTCCTAGGTGTCCAACACCATGGATCATAATATGTTCAAAGCATGATAAAACTAGAAATAGTTTTAATTACATGTCATAGACAAAATAGTGCATGCAAGCACGACAGAAAAACCATCTTCGTCGTCTTTTGTCCATGCACCAACACTTGATAAGCTTCTCACTTAGTCCCTGAAAAGGCAACATTAAGTAAGTCATACTTGGTATCCAATACCTTATGATAAGCTTAATCCACAAGTGTTAAGGAAGATACCTGAGGAGGATGCTCCATTCCTCTCCTCCTCCTCTCGAAAGAGCTTGCATTCTCTCTTGAAGTGGCCTTGCCCGCCACAGTATAAGCAACGCATCTTAGCCTTAACCTTGAGATCCCTCCTTCCTGATGGTCTTTTGGTTGCCCCAAATGAGTTGGCCCGGTGCAGAAGCTCCACCACATTCTTTAAGGAATGTGTCTCCTTTGAATCAGAAATATATGCCTTTAATGCATCATATCCTGAGTGGAGTGAAGAGAGAAAAATATGACCGGCCATTCCATCTTCTTGTGGAATTCTGAGGAGTTCCATGTGCTTGAAGAGCTTAGTCATTCTTGCCACATGGGGACGGAGGGGCATACCCGGTCTCAACTTAGTGTTGCAGACCGTAGACCAAAGATGGTACCTTTCTTTCGCAAGACAACCTTGATCCGACGGCTTTACATTCATGTCCGTAAGTGACCTAGTCACTTCAAACAAGAGTCCATCATTGTTGTCGTTAAAACTCTTAGAGAATCTCACACCGACAACATCCCTTAGTCCTCCAAGGAACAAATCTGGGAAGGAAAATGAAAGTTTTTCTTTCCATTCTTTAGGGATGGAGTTAGCCATGAGTTATGACACCAATTTGTAGTCTTTCGACCATGCACAATAAGTTTCGTCACTCAAGAGGGTCTTGGAGCAGAGAGTTGGGAGGGAAGTATTCAGAACATACTCCTTGGAACAACTCCGGAGAGTTTTCCTGAGTTCTTCTTCCCATTCATCAAGGTTTGTTAAGTTAAGCTTGATAGCTAACTTATCGGGGAGTTCCGGGCACATTTGGTTGTTGTTCGAGTTACTTGCAGACATGATTTCTACAATTGAAAGAGTTTGAAGTGAAAAACCATTCATACATCAATAAGTTGAAATTTAAAGCGTTCATGCATTTATTCACACTTATTGAACATTTTATCCACGCATTTCAAGATTGTCCCTTATGGGCGAGA